TCATAACCATTATTTTACTAGAGACCATTGCATTAATTTAACCACAATGGGCTCTGTTGCTAATCCATTAAATAAATAACATTAGGTTTAACGAAACTAGTACCAAGGTTTGCTGCTACAAGGAAACCAATTAAGTGTGTTTTTACTAAAATATTATTTGTTTAGTATAAAATACATAAATCTTCAAAGTTTTATCAAAATATATACATAAACAAGGACACTACAACTTTTTAGCATATTCTCCATAAGAATAACATGGGGATTTTAAATTTCAAATTTTTCAATTTCCCCCGTTACTAATAATTGTACAAAACCCCTTTGATATACTTAACTATTTGTTTTTTAAGCTCTTTAAAAAGGTATAGAGAGAAATTGGGAAATTTTACGTTTTAAGGGTCAAAAATGAAAAAAAAAACTAATTTTAAAAATATAAAATAACTTATATATAAAAAACTTTTCAAATGCAACGTTTTTAAACGCACCTTTTTTCGCCCATAGTGCATCACTGTTAACAGTATATTTTAAATTCAACCATTATATTCTTTTCCAGCATGAAATGTTCTATAATTTGATAACAAACCAGATTTTTCAACAATAATTTAAAATTTTTAACTTTTTTTAAATGGCAACCAAAAACCGTATTTTGCGTAACAGTACAAATGTATATTTTTGGTATGTTTTTTATAAGTGTATTACCTACCATTTCTAACTGGAATAATTTCTGTTGCAATTAGTTCCACCTCAAACCCTATTTCTACTGCACTATGCTGTCTCTTGTTCAAAAGAAAGTATTGTTTTCAATAAACCCATTTATATTGGGTTTACAGTGCTAGAGCTGAGTAAACTTCATATGTACGATTTTCACTACCAAATCATAAAACTGTTTTTTGGTTCAAATGTTAAACTCTTGTATTCTGACACAGATTCACTTTTTTATGAAATTATCACTAATGATATATATGTAGACATGAATAGCCCTGAACTAAAACAGTATTTTGATACTTCTAATTTTTGTAAGAATCATCCATGCTTTTCAGCTAGTAACAAGAAAGTGCTAGGTAAATTTAAGGATGAATGTTCTGGCAAAATAATTATTGAGTATGTAGGTTTGCGTCCAAAGCTTTACTGTTATGAAATATTTGAACAGGTTGTTAGGAAAAAAGCTAAAGGTGTTAACAAAAAGGTTGTGGAAAAAGCCATCAATTTTGATGATTTAAAAAAATGTTTGTTTAATAGAGACTTGAATATTTGTAAGAAACAAACTCTGTTTCGGTCAAAAGATCATAGAATTAGCACTATTACTATCAATAAAATTGCAATGAATGCAAATGATGACAAAAGACATATTCTAGATGATGGTATTAACACCTTAGCTTATGGGCATTTTAAATTATGTCAGTGAAATATGTAAATAAACTTGTATATATGATATTAATTTGTGTTTTTAATTTCCTTTATTATAATGGTATAAGGTTAACATATAACAACATATTTTTAAAACAAGATTTATTTATATAATACACTATTTACATAACTTTTTTGACAGTTCCAGACAATGGAGAGTAATACACTAATCCATCACTTATAATCAAACAATATGCAGCAGTATTTGCAGGAACTGCTTTTGTAGTTTCAATTTCAAGACGTACATCAATTGTGCCACTTTTTAAAGTTTCAGATTGTTTAGAACAATCACATACAAATAATGGTGAACTCTCAATGAAGTCTTTTTTGCTTATACATGGTTGATCATCACTTCCTGCATAGAAAGAAGATTGAAACTTTGCATAGTACTCATATAACAAAGCTTTGTTTCCATTCAATGGATCATATGGGTAGTATATTCCATTTAAATAAAGCCTTATGTTATTTAAATCACAAAAATCAAAATGTGATGCATTTTTATTATTTTTTTCTTTACGTTCAGTTTGGAAACCTACAATAACATATCTAGGTTTCTCAATAACTGATAGTGTCTTAACAGTCCATGTTTGAGAAGTGGTTTGAGGTAGCACAGGGTACTCATGCATTTGCCACCTCCTAAAGGCAATTCTTAAAGGTTGATCTTTTTCTACTAGTTTTAGAAGTGATAGTTTAATTTCATCATCAATTTTCACATAAGGCATTTTCCAGATAAGTTTGGTTATTACAAATTTAACAGTTTGTAAAGATGCTGCAGCTTGCAATATTGCATTTTTGTCTGATGAAGATCTTAACAATACTAGTTCTTGTTTCACATTTAGCAAAATCTCTTTAAAATCTTCAGCAAAACCAAGCAACAGCTTGAGTGGTACACAAAATGAAAAGTTGGTTTTATCTTCAAGTACATCAATCTTAGGTAATGTCCAGCCAGCGTTCCCCATCCAGTGAACATCTCCAGGACGTGATGTAAGTATATTTTTCATTGTAGTAGTTATTCCAACATTTTTTACTCGATCTATTTCTGTTCCACATAGCTCATATCTTATTTCTTCGAATAGAAATGCGATTGCATTATTTATAAGATTAGTTGTAGTATCATCATTTCCATCCTGTTTTTTCAAAGATCCCTCAATTAAAATATAACTCTCACTTGGTAACGTATATACATCTTGCTGGTGAATTGGTATTCTTATTTCATCACTGTTTCCAAAAGTGTTTGATGAATAAGGATTGTGAGAATGGAATTGAAAGTCAATGACACTGTTGTCAAAGCTTGATTCAGAATTTATATTTAATATTCGATTCATTTCTTCTTGAATATCCCAATATTTTGCAAAAATAATAAATTTTCAGGGGATAAAGTTTTGATAAACTTATTGTTACTACGCACTGTAAAGTTGGATGTGGATGGCAGGGCTGCTCTTTCCTCAATGACTGTATGTTGAATGCTGGGATATTTATGTATAAATGGTTCTCTTTTTTGATTATAATTCCTAAAAAAGACTAATCCCATTTTTTATCTGCGCTGCTTTTCTCTTATAACTATACGTATATTTATATTTTCCCCTCTCAGATTAACTAACTCCCCGTTTTGATCTTCTAAAGCAATTATAAACTCTTCCAAACTATTTTGTTTGTTTATTGGAAGATAAGTTATTGTATTTGGTTTCTCAACAATTTTAAACCCCGGTGCTACAGTTGGATAAAACTCATGTAATACATGTCCTTCAACACCGTCAATATAAGATCCTCTTACAATATTACAAGTGATCCGTATGACATCTACTTTATTAATGGAAACTTGATTGGGTGATTCAGTCCATTTATTTGGCTCAACCATGATTTTGTCGCTAAATCCAAGGAGAGACCCTAATGTTCCTTTTTTTGTGAAGTCTATTCCCTTGTCACAGAATATTTCACATTTTAAAGTGTTATTGTTAGCAACAAGTTTAAATTTAATGTCAAGTTGCCCCTTATGAAAAAGTTTATATATGGCCATATAAAATTTTTTTTATCTGGTTATATTTGGTTTTGGACCAAATATAACCAGATATGATCATATATGGAATCCCCCATATATGGAAATTTTTTAATAAAAAATATATAAATAAATAAAAAAATTACAATTAAACATATTTTCACATTAAATCGTATAAACTATGCATTAAAACCATAATAAAAATTTTTAATTTGAAAATTTCAAAACAAAATTTTCAAGTAGCCGACTGGGATTCGAACCCGGGACTCCAGCGTGGGAGTCTACCCCTTTGACCACTACACCACAACCGCTTCATATCAGATGTCTTAACAAAACCCATTACGAATAAGAGAAGCTGTATTTGGTCTCGTAAAACAAGATTTTCTTAGACATTTTATGTCATTTGAAGAATTTTATTATTAATATAGCCTAACTACGTGACATAGATATTTGCAGCTGTTTGATAGCAAAGGTACAATAAATTAATTATTAATATAATATTCTCTTTATTTAGGCCTACTACACTTGCAATTTTAAAATTATACGTCAGTTTTAAGATTTTGTTGCGTTATAATAAAATTGTACAATAGATGTATGTACAGGATTTTGTCATCTGGGTTCAAATCTGGATACTTTATTACTTTACTACTAATTACTTTAAATGAGAAATGCCTATATTATCTGCCCCCCACTGTACCACATTTCAACTCAATCAGTTCAGTAGTTTGTGCTTGCGAGAGCAACAAGAAAATACACAAACTCACAAACTTTAAGATTTATAGTATTATATATATTATAAGAAGTGTTTGGGAGTCCAGTTACAAAATCCAAATGTGGCAACAATTCCTTATAATAATTCCAGTTATTGTCAAAAACTCATTTATACATGAGCATAAATGGAAAATTATTATTCCGTATATGAGTAATTTAATTCCATACCTGGGAGTCATATATGGCCATATAAAGACCATGATTCCATATATGGAGGATATTTATGGCCATATATGGGGAATAATTTCATATATAGAAAACATGTATGGCCATATATGGCCAATAATTCCATATAATAGACTACATATATGACCATATATGGACACCACCATATATGGATACAACCACATCTGGCCATATCTGCTTCCATATATGTCCATAAAAAACCATAAATGGCTTTATGAAACCATATATGGAATTTTGATATGGTCATATATGGCCAGAAATTACTTTTTTATAGGGGGCTGCCTTTCTATTTGCTTATTAATAAACTCATTTATACTTTCAATTTCATATGATCCTGTAGGAAGGCTAATCACATCTCCATTTGAAAAATATAATTTATTATTATCATTCTCCTCCACGTTGGGTATTGAATTATAGGTCAACAAATCATGGAACCCCATTTCCCATTCATTTGATGTTGATAAATCAAATGGTGGAAACGGCGTATACCTAATACGTGATGAACTCCCTTTTATGCAAATCATTATGTATGACTGGCTAGAAAGTCTAAACACAAATGACCACAGTTCACTTCATCCTCCTTTTGTATAGGAAAATAATTATATCTAACCTCAGTGTGGTAAGGTCCACTGTTAAAGTAGCGTTGAAGTTCAACTGGTGGTTTGAGATTTCCAAAGCTGTCAAAATATTGGACTCTGAAACCATTTTTTGTATAACACACCCAATGTGTCCCCTTTCCATTGTTGTCATCCAAATTAACAATTCCAGTTTCCTTTTCACTTATATTATGAGGCAGTAAATCCCGCATAAACACTCCTCTAAAATTAGGTATATTTAAACGTGAAACCCACTTTAAAATATCCTTGTTACTAAGCGGTCTGTTAGGAATACTATTTATCTCCTTTGTTAAGTAGACGATCTTTTTTTTTCTTTGCACATCCTGATCCTTTATAGGGTCTTAGATATAAGCCTTTACCTTTTCTTTTAGTTGCATTAGCTTTTCTTGTATTTTTCTTATTTTTGCATTTACATCTTCTCTTTTTCTTTACCTGTTTTTTTCTACCAGCACCAAGTTTATTTTTAGCTTTCATTATATTTGTAATAGTCCAAGCTGCTGCCTTTTCACCGAAACTTGAATCAGAAGCTTTCACTCGTTCCCAAGCCTGCTCAGCTAACTGTTTGTCAGCAATAGATCTGTTTTTACTATCAGAAAATTTGGAATATGCAATATCATGCAGTTTACAGGCTGAGTCTAATTTGTTGATACCTGGATCACCACGAGCCAATCTAGTCTTTAAATCCGTTCCAGGACCACAGTACTGATAGCCTGGCAAATGCAGTTCCGTTGGTAAGATGTCTATAGCACGGTTTAAAATGTTCCCAGCTGCGCCTGTAAGACTACTGATCAGGCCGGAGCCTCTTGGATAACTGATGCGACCAGGTCGGGAGAACATCATATTTATTAATGATTTTCAGCTCCTGATTTGTCTTTATTTATTATCACTGGTGCAGGCGTATTAGCTTTTGGTTGCACCAAAGCGTTTTCACTAACTCCAAACAAATCGCTCCAATCACAAGTATGCAATGATTTAAATGATTTAAATTATTATGAATCGCAAAAGACATTTCAGCCAATACATCAGCAATAAATGAATAGCTTATTGCATCTCCTTTTGCTTTAGGAAAACCTATGTTTTTTATAACATTTCCCTTAGCATCATATTCTTTATTTTCTTTTAAGGCTAGAGTATTAACTTGTAAATAACGAAGATTTACAGCATCATGTGACAGTTTTGGATCTTTTACATTACAAATATTTAAATTCTTTGCATTAAACACACTTTTATCAACAAGTAAAGCATTTTCCTTTAAAGTTCTATAGTTTACTGCATCACCATCCGCTATAGGAAAGCTTATATCTTGCACTCTGAATTGGTGAAAAGAGTAACTGTCAAGCAGTTTTACCGGTGAATTAGAAGTAAAATATAATTTATTAACAGCATCACCATCACTAATTGGTACATCCAAATTGCTTACTCTAAGCCCTTTCCCATCATACTCTTTCTTTTCATTCACCAATAAACAATTTCCAACAGATGTATTAAGTGTAAAAAGATTTACAGCATCCCCAATCTCTGTTGGTGCTCCAACATTACAAATCCTTTTGAGTTGGATATCATAATCACCATCATCTGTAAGATTAAAACCATCACCTTTAGGACCCTTTTGACCTTGTGCAATTTGAGCATTACCAGAGCTTGAGTAGCGTCCAAATTTATCAACACTCATCATGAAGTTCAGAACTGAAATGAGGGTAGAGATAATAAAACAATCAGTTTAATTACAATTATTTATTGAAAATTAAACATTAATAACACCATTGTTTTCCAATTCCAACAATTCCTCAATAATAGAATTTATTTCATTTTTATGTCCATTATTTCCTGCTTCTTGTGATCCATATAGGAGGCGCAGACGGTCAACAAGCTCATTTGGATCATCAAAGTAAATATATTCCGGCTTTCCATTGCCTAATGTAACTCCGTGTGAATCTGATTGTGGAGCAAGCAGATCAGGATATGTTGTCATTGGATTTGCTTTAATAACATAATCTTGCTGTGGTAATTTATTTTTTCTACTTTTTGGAGTAGTTTTTAAAACACCACTACCACTTGCACCATTATTATCCCATTCATTTAATATTGGAGCAATTATATGCAAATACTTATGACCTCTGTTAGACCTTCGTCTACCAAGTGCTGAATAATTCACTCGATAAACATTAGTATCTTTTAAAATACCAGCATAACTTTTTAAATCTTCTTCAGTATAAATGTATTGGTTTGGTGAATTCATAAATATCAGCTCATAAAGCCCTCTTGTTCCTAAATACCTCACACCATTTACTATAATGTCATTTTCATCAATTTCAATTTTTTTATCACCAATCATCCAGTCATTTCCCTCTACACGAACACCATAGTTGTGGTCAATAGGTTTACCCCCTCTAATTAATTTGAGAAAATAATCTTTAGCTATATTACCTGTGAAAGTATGTTCAACAAATTCCTTAGCATAGTGTCTTCCTTTTGGTGTTTTTAAAAGAGCCTCACCTGTACTTGTTGTTTCATAAACCACTGGCTCATGTTGCATTTCTTCAATACTTTGTTCATCGTCTCCTTGATTTTCATACTCCATTTCATTTGTATCAAATGTGGTACTAGGGATTGCTGGACGTTTGGAAGGTGGTAGACCTTCATTTCCATCATCATATTCATAGTCACTTTCATAATCCTCTCGCGTAGGCAGATTAATCTTTTGTTTACGTTTCACTCCTTGATCGGGTGCGCGTATAAAATGTTTAACTGGGGTTGCTTCTTCAAAATTTTCAGTAGGTTTTCTCTTGCGATTATTCAATTTCTCCTTCTCTGATTTACTTTCTTCCTGTTCCTCTAGTAGTTTAATCAAAGGTTCAGCAACAGGTTTCCACTGCTTTTCCAGTAATTCACTATTATCGGTTAATTGGCGCTGTAGCGCTTGATGCTTTAATTTAATATTCCTTCTAAGTTCACTAATCTCCTTAACCATTTCTTCCTTTGTTTTATCTTTAACCCAATCATCATAAAATTGTTCAGCCATTGTTTGCTGTCAACATATGTACTGGTAATGGTTAAAATGTAACATGGTAGAGAGTTATATCTTCTCCCCACCACTATTATCAAACTTTGATAAAAACGTCTAATCCATTTCGATAGCGACCTTTACCCATTTCTCTGTCTTTGTCTATCACTACAAATGAATTTTTCCCACTACTCCACACTTTTAAACACATTTCTTTAAAAGTTCCAAAAGTCATATCAGTGTTAACATGGTCATGATAAATATGTTGTAAGTTTCTATTGTCTTGTTTGAATAAAACAATAAAATTAGCGTTATCCCTAACCAATTGTTTTGGTACTTAGCTGTATGTTTGGCAAATATAAAACGTATCAATATTGTTATGTCTCCCCATTGAAAAGTAATTTTTAATATTTTGCTGTTTTTCACATGCAACATCATCAAATATCATTATTGAATTAGGAATGATTTCAGAAGGATGCAAAACTTCATCATTATCTGAAAACATGTAAAACCCAATTTCTTCAATTTGTTTCATAACACACTCAAGAAATTTGTATTTAGGCTGATATAAGGATTTAGAAAAAATGTATACATTTTTAAAATACAATCCACTTGGTGAGAAAAGAAGATTTAACATCAAATTAGTTTTTCCACAGTTTGATGGTCCACAAATAATGCACCTGATAGTATTTGGAAGGAGAACACCATGCTTTTTGCTGGATGATTTATTTTTATCGTTGACTCTAATAACTTTATCTAGATTAACAACACTAAAAGAATTTTTTTGTTTGGTAAATTTCATATCTTACTTCACACTAACTCACTCTGGCTAATCCAACTATCATGTGACTTGTCAAAACCCAGCCACCGCACTAATATCCTGTCCCGCTTTCTCCTTATAACTTTTTGAACTAAGTAAATATCTGAAAACTTAGTTTTACTTAGTTCTTCTTGATAAAACCCACCTTTCAACACTTCTCCTTTGGAGTCTTTCAGAATATAAGTTGGCGGGTTAGTTGGTTGAACTTTTGACACTGTATAAACCTCATTGCTCCACCTTGGCCAGTAACCTTTTGACAATTGTTTGAATCTTAAACTTATTCTAACTTTGTCTCCCACCTTAAACTTTTGCTTATACACTTTTAATTTTCTACTTCTTACAATTCTCAAGAGAATTTGTTTTTCATTATCTTTGTTAACATCAACAGGCTTTATACCAATTGTTCTATGTACTTTATTGTTATAACGTTTAATTATGTCAGGAAGAATTTGCAACCATTTAAAATTACCTTGTACAGTAAATAATTTCCACATTTCACCTTTTAAAGTTCTATTAAATCTTTCAACTATTGATGCTTTTTTATCTGAGTAAGTATAATAATGATTTATATTAAAACTTCTTAATAAAGATTGAATTTGTGAGTTAAACCATTCTTTTCCTTGATCAGTTTGAAAATGCTTCATTTTATGAACTTCCAAAATAGGTTTTAATGCAATAACAACTTCTTTAGCAGTTTTTGATTTTAAAGGAACAGCAATTGCATATTTTGAAAAACAATTAATCATAGTCAAAATGTATTTATATCCATTGTTCACTGATGAAAAAGGTATCATTTCTACTAAATCAGCTTGATAAAGATCATTAATACCTTTTAACTCTACATACCGGGTTGGAAAGTTTTTTCTTGACTGTTTGTGTAACTCACTAGCAATCTCAGCTCTGATATTTGACATTTTACTACAGTGCTTGAAAGGGAATGATGAAAATAATTGCTACAGAACACTTTTAACATAAAATTATTTATTTTACAACACATCAAATAAAACAATTATCAAAAACCTTTTATGTATTTACAATAAATCACAATATGGTGATGCTTTTTTGTGTTCCACCATTGGATCTTCATCAGGATTCCACTGATCCAACATAAGGCCACAGCTTACACAAGTAGTAGCATCATCAATACCAGTATAGTAGAATCCAGCTTGAACCATCTTCTCTATGTTTGATAAGCTTTAGGGTACGCTAGAAATGTCTCTCTCATCACATCTTCCATTTCCCTTACACTTCCCTTTAATTGGCTATAATTTTTAAAATCCAAAGACACATTTTTACTCATTTCACAATCTGGATTTGTTAATTTATGTACAAAATTAATGTGTTTTAATGTTAACTTTCTAGAGCCAGATTCCCATCCACATCCACAACAAACAATATTTTCAAATAATTTAGTTCTATAAAACCCAGATTTAATCAAATCACTTTTTTTTAATTAAATAAGTTGCAACATGAAGCTTCACCTGAATTACTAGATGTTGAGGAACAAGATGCTGAAGTTGGTGACTCCATCATGGTGCATTAGCCACTGAATCAAGTAATGTGTTTTCATTTTTAGCAAGCAGATCAAAGGTTATCTTATGTTTGCAAAAATAGCAATATTTTCTTTTGATAACTGGACCATCAATTGCATCACCTTCATTAGCAAACTGATAGTGTTCTTGGCAACGCAAGTTTTCTATGATGTCTGGATCAGACTGCAAATGCAGTGGAAGTTTGTGATAGATATATTCTAAGACATTCACATAGTTAATGATAAACTGTTTTGGCAGATACTTAACCAACTCATCCTGCATCACATATCCTTTTTCAACCCATTCTTTTATAACTAAATCTATATTTTTACTAGTGTAAATAGCAACCTGCTTCTCAATATTCCACCATTGCAGTAAAACATGAACATTAATGTATGCACAGTTAGTTGGGGAATGGCTAAAACTGCAAGTTTTGAAAGAACCTAAGTGCACTCTTGCTTTTAGATCTGATAGCTTTGGACACCCCAAATCTTCTAGATTGAACACCTTAACCTCGAACTCAGACAGAAGTTGAGCAATAAAATGTTTCTTTTCCAAACCCTTAAC